GCGTGAAACGTCGCTTGTTGATGCCCTGGTGCGCTGTGTGCGCAGCAAGAGCACCGCGAGGAGGGCCTGCCGGCGCCGCCGCTGCGCTACGCCGACAACAAGGCGACGCTGGACGCGCTGCTGGCGCGCCCCAACGGCCTGCTGCACCTGCTCGACGACCCCTCGCTACGCGACCCCGCCCACCTGCTCGGTACGCACGCTCTCCTCCAATCACAGGCCAGGAACCAGATAAACCATAAGCTTCCCCCTATTGGTATATGTTCATACATTTATTGATCACATGGCAAGCGCACCAAGGCTCAGCAATACCCATCAGATACCGGTTCCCAATATGTCAGAATATACTGAATATTATATCATATATATATATATTATAATATATAATTATATATCTCACTATAAGTCGGAATATAATTTTGCGATGACGAGTTTCTCATTTTGTTACTATATATTTCTCGTAGATATTTATGAATGGTTTTAGATAGTAGCCAGAACAGACACACTTCGACATAAATCGACATACTAATATTAAGACCGACAGCCTTGCTGTGCCTAGCGAGGCTGAACCTATCAATGCACCAAGCCCTTCAAATGTACTGGACAAAAGGAATGTAAATATTGTTGAGAGGGGCATCTTTATCCCCATTGATCTGTGTAATTACCGAACGAATTGCAACGAAATAGAACACAACAATGTTGACGTTACAGGCAAAGAGTTAAGATCAATAATTGCATTTTATTATGACATATCGCAAAGATCTATTTTCGTTTGCATTTAAAATCGTTACTACTTTCCTTTTGTTTAAGCAAAGTGTTGTAAAGAATTCGTTGAAGCTCACTTTGTACAATGAACTGTGTCAATGCGTGCGATAAAAAAGCTTTAAAACGCGAGTTGTAGATAAACGTAAGCCATATTATGATCAAATACCTTTGTGTTGTTAAGATCACTAGCTCAGTAACGTACTGATTTTATCTTGCTGGAGGAAACACGTAATTGATAAGTTAGATCAAGATTAGCGATGTCGTAATTGTTGAAACGCCCTGTGTATAGAACAGATCGTCTTCCTCAATTCCAAAAATGTAATAATATTCTTTCAAATGAAGCTTTCATTATTCTAGTCCATGCCAAAGTATTGATCCATTCAACATTTATATTACAATTTAATTTAGTGAAATTAGATCAATATGTATGCACGATACATCAAATATCTGTTTCTCATCGGCAATTTAATTGGTGGATTATTGATATTTTAATTTAACTTGGTGAAATTAGATCAATATATGTGTAAGATACATCAAATATCTATTTCTCATCACCCATTTAATGAGCGGGTGTCATTTATTTATGAAAAAGAAAGCATTTGTTTTATAGCGACAAATATCAACGAGTTCTTTCCTTTCTTTGAAATCTATGACGGGTAGGTATTCCGTGTTAGCGCAAGGTCGAGCGCGAGCGTGAGCATGAGCGTGAGGTGAGCGTGAGCGTGAGGTGAGCGTGAGGTGAGCGTGAGGTGAGCGTGAGGTGAGCGTGAGCGTGAGCGTGAGCGCGCGTGCCGCAGGGGCGCTGCGACGCGCGGGCCACTCGCCGCACCTGAGCGTGCCGTCGGTCGGCGCCGTGAGCGGGGGCGCCCTGGAGTTCTCCGTGGCGCACTACACGGGCACCGTCACCTACCGCGCCGCCGGCCTCTACGACAAGAACCGCGACTTCCTGCCGCCGGACCTCATCGAGGTACTCACGCCGAGAGCGCCTGCGCCAAATGATTCACTAAACAAAAACTGTTGTAGCAATAAAATTAGACGGCATGCTGTATCACGGTAACGAAGAGATAGATGTCATCAGGCGACAGAAATTGGCTGACGTGAATGTTTGTTACGTTTCATGTAGGAGATACTCGGCCATTCATATCCATGAGAGTTCTTGCTTCATTTTTTTTTTTAATAATCGTCGAACGAATACCCCCAGAGCCCTTCAGACAAACATCATGAAGTCATGTTCATAGTTCAGAATACTCTTACCGGAACTAAACAATGTCGTCTAGAGAAATATGGCGTATTTATTTCCAATATTGTGATGATTTGTTATGAAAGTTTTGTTGATGTATACAAAAAGTATTGCATTGTCGTTTTGTAAGAAAAATATATTTAATCTACATTAAAACGATTGATATTTCTTCATGCAATGCAAAAATTTTAGAATATTGGAGTAGAATTACAATACGTAAAATATATATTGAATGTAAATTATGTATTATGACATTGACGAATTGGCATAAATCGTCTTATTTCGTAAGACAAATACTATTAAATTTCGGTATTTTAAATAATGATCAAATATCTTGTAGTTTTGTCAGTTTATATCAGATCATACCAACATTTTTAAGTTGTCTTAATATTTGCTTAAATTTGTATATTTCCTGAATATATATTCTGAATTTCACCAAATTTATTTACATTTTACGGTTTACCTGGAAATGTAAAATAACAAGCATAATATACCAATTTACTTTAGCCCTTGAAATGGTTATAGTCGTATATTGGATTTTCCAAATTAAGCCATTTGAATTAATTCTCATCTTTGGGTTTATATTTTCTGAATAAAAAATAATAAAAAGTTACCAGCATTGTTCGCAGATTGGAGGTACACAGATATTAAACTAAGTAAATTGGGTTTCTTACCAGATATAAACAATTTCGTCTAGAAAAATTCTTCCGGAACTAGTTCAATGGTAATTCAATGAGAAAGGAAGCGAAAGTGTAGATATGTTGGGGTCAAGTTCCTCCCACCAAAAAGATAATAACAATTCCCGTGAATTGATGGCCTTCGTTACAATGAAGAAGACGGTGCTAGATGATATACAACCAATATCGACATTCAGCGAGCCGTCACCTTCAGAATCTTGTTTTCTTTAGGGTGGTATCAATGTTTTGGTATATAATTTGGAACAAGTATTACAGAATCCCGTTGATGACATTGAATAATATTAATAATAATAGTAATAATAACAATAACTCAAATATTCTTGTGTAAGTTAATATTTTACCCTTGAAAAAGTGAGCAAAAAGAACTCCCATCTCCCAAGCGTTTGTCCAGTTTCCCTTAAACCATTGAGCAAATGTTGATGTGGCCTCTTATTTTGCTGCGGAACATAAATGAACCTTCACTATACGCCCATTTTATTGAACTCTCATTTTAGTAGTTGAGTTAGAGGTAGAGCCTGCCTTGGTATTTTGTTTGCAGTGCTTTTAGCATTTTCCAAGTAATTCAAATAAGTTTAGCAAAATAATAGAGTAGGGATTCTTGAGCTCAAGGAAACGTGCGCAGATTGTACTTTTTACTCGTATTTCAAATACAGTTCTCACTGTTTTTCTTTCGACAAATTCTTGATACATTATATTGCGTATTACCCTTGTCCCCTTCCTTCAATCGATGAAGGATGTGACTTGGACTTTGTCCGTTGTGGCAGGTACTTCGCCATTCGTCGGAGCCCGTGGTGCAGCAGCTGTTCAGCGGCCGCCTCACCAAAGCCGGCAACCTGGCTCTCACGGAGGACCTGCCGGCGGGGGTGGTGCCGATGGCGAAGGAGGGCGGCGCGGGGGCGGGCGCCCAGGGCGGGAAGGCGACTGCGCAGGGCGGCGGCTGGGGGCGGCGCCTGTCTGTGGCGCCGGGCCAACGACCGCGTCGCCAGGTGAGGCACGCAGCATCCAAAAAATACACACATCGCAGAAGAGCTTGTCGATCCAGACTTGCCGAAGACTCCGGACAGGCTTGCCGACGCCAGCTTGCGCCCTTGGCGACCAATCCACGATCGACCCGATTGCGACCCGACTGCCACACTTGCCGACCCAGACTTCCACCACTGCCGACCGCTGCGACCTGCCCACTTGCCGACGATTGCCAACCAGACTTGCCACTTGCCGACAGCTCCGACCAGACTTGCCCCGACCACCAGACTTGCCGCCCACGATTCACAGCTTGCACCGACGCCGACCCAGACTTGCCGACCCAGACTTGCCGACCCAGACTTGCGCCACACTGCCGACACTCAGCTTCCGAACCCAGATTGCCGACCCCAGACTTGCCGACCCAGACTTGCCCACCACGACTTCTACGCAGCCGACAGACCGCCCCATGGTTGCCGACGCCAGACTTGCCGACCCAGACTTGCCACCGCAGACTTTTGCGACCCAGACTTTCGCCGACTGCTGACCAGACTTGCCGACCAGACTTGCCCGACCCAGACTTGCCGACCCAGGCTTGCCGACCCAGACTTGTCGACCCAGACTTGCCGACCCAGACTTGCCGACCCAGACTTGCTGACCCAGACTTGCCGACCCAGACTTGCCGACCCAGACTTGCCCACCTAGACTGGCCAACTTAGACTTTTAACCCAGACTTACCCGCATCAGATTGAAACCACGATTTTGGCTAGCAAATACCGACGTCACCAAATATTTTTAAATTCGACACTCATGATTGGATTTTACACATCCTTTACAATCGCTATGTATAAGGCTTACACATAAACTGGCTTAAATCCATTTCGCAAGAATAGACATCCGCCTCCTATCACGTCTTACTGCGATTTAAAACTTTAAAGCGTTTGGAAATTAAACGCTCTTGTTGTTGAATGCACGGCGAAGAAATGACAGTCTTCGCATTTGCTGTTGTCTACATCGGTCTCGGATTCTGACAGTCGTTGAGCCTCCGCTTTCAGCAAGGGCCAAAAACGGGAGACCGACCGGGAGACCGCTTCTAAAAAAGAGTGGTAGATAAGAGTCGCGATAAGAACGGGGGCCCATGCGTCGGCGCGACATAGCAATTATAGAGAATTACACTGCGAAATGAAATAGTTGTCAGTCGCGCACGGACACTTTACAGCGTTGGGGAAAGATTGTGTACATTATTTCTTGAATGAAAATAGTATTTTATGAGTTATAAGTAAGCTTTTGGAGAAATATTTTATATACTCTGTTTCGACATCCGATGGTGTTATCTTTAAATGCGAGTTAGTCTGGATTTGAATACCCTATTAAACACACACTATTTGTCCTAATTAGTAGACTCGCGCCTAGGATTTCTAAATGGGAAAGTTACATAAATGTTGATGATAATAATTTTTAACTTTGCTTGAAAACAGTTCTGGACGTATTAGCAATCTGGGACAGAAGGTGTGCAGTTACAAATTTGGGTTGTGAGCTGCAGATTATTGTTTAGACTCAAATCGTAATGAGTATTACAAATATACACTTCGAATGAATATCAGAAACTCCAGACTCAAACCTTCCATAATTATGGTAAGAATTTCTATCTATCAGTATAATTATTATGGAAATTTATTTGTTTTAATATTCCAGGAATTTTAATCCCTTGAATGCATTAAGATTGAATTATTTATTAGGAATTCTACGGTATACGTAGTTCAATCGATTATGTTATGTCAACGCTGTGTACACCAGCACTGCTAAGCCATCTGCATACGCAGTAATGCACCGCAGCGGTTGACGCGTTCTCGCTGCCTGGACATTGGACGGGAGATATGGTGGCCGTAAGCAAATAACAGCACTCTACTCCATCATCAGATGGCGGGAGCAACGTACGCAGTCGGTTCTAGCGTTATTATTAGTCCATAGGGCAAGTTGTGTTCTCGCTGTAAAGCCCACGCATTATGTAAACAGATTTTGTTTTCTCAAATGTGGGATGAAGCGACACGTAGAATAGCAGTCAGTTCCAGGATTCAAATCTCTCACCTTTATGTGGAATCGCAGTGAACAAAGAGGAGTTGGTTAGGTTCTCGTTCCTCCTTCATTATACCCTCCATTGTAATTGACTTATCAAATTGTTCATCACCTGTCGTGGAAGTAAATATTCGAAGTCAGTAAATCAGGTCGAGGCTCTGAATTCCTACAAAACAGCATTTTGTACTTTTGACAAATGAGAATATTTAAATTGTGTCAATATGATTTGTGAATTCCATCAGCTTATTAGGGTGACAGTATGAGTATTGCTTACATTTTACCATAACAATTTTAGGGTCACACTGACTCATTTTATTTGCGCCTCTGCAAGTTGTTGGTTAGGTTACGCCGTCGGCCTTTGTGAATTATATAAAACAACCTTGGGATTGTTCAATGTATTATTTCCATCACATTTGAAGCCATGATATTTCAGAGAGCAGTTAACTGCCCCTGTTCCATGTAAAGTACTCTCAAAAACTAATGAATGATTTTCAAAATCGCAGAGCTTCGACTCAGGTCCAAGGGACAGGGTTTTCTTCAATTTGGCAAAAAGATTCTTCACATGGTTTAGGCGCTAGTGTTGTTCACAGACACCAGACAAACGGACGGACGGACTGACAGACGGACAGACAGATGAACAAACGGACTGACGGGCAGAGAGGCGGAGGGACAGATGGACGGACGTTCGGAAAAAACACTTTTTCGGGAACAGGGGAACCCAAAACATGTATTTTCTTTGAAATCTCGAAATCTATTTTTCGCAGCAATACATAACTTTCCCTATACTACGTATATTACTCCGTACATACGTACGTACACGGGAAAGTAAAAATGACGTTTAAAAATTGGTCATTTCCTTTCTCGTAACATGAAATAAATGTCTATAATACGGCATTAATCTAAAGTAAAAAAATACATTCAATTGAAATCCGCCCCTAGTCATGATCATCCTCATGATTTCATAATGAGGTGGCGTGTGGCGTGTTGCAGAAGTACAACACGGCGTCGCGCGGCCGCTTCTCGCAGTCGCGCGGGCTGCGCACGGCCAGCGGTGTGTTCCGCGCCGCGGGGTTGGAGGCCCTGCGCGCGCTGGCCGGCGGCGGCGTGCACCCGGTGCGCTGCCTGCGCGCGTCGCTGGCCGGCGCCCCGCGCGCCGCGCAGCCGGAACTGCTGCGCCAGCAGCTGCGCGCGCTCGCCGTGCTCGACACGGCCCGCGCGCGTCGCGACGGATACCCGTGCCGGGTGCCCTTCGCCGAGTTCATTCGCAGGTCGGTCGCTCGCCATGGGCTGTGCCATTATTGATGATCATTGAAGCTAAACTAATTTGGGGGCGTGGTTAGTGAGTAACTCGTAGACATTATTCGCATCCATATCCCAAACATTGGTTAAATGTGTTGGTGCTATCCAATGAAATCATTATAGGTTAGTTGGATCTTGCAGCGGTACACAATATTGTGTCGTTCTCAAATCACGTGAACCTAACATTTTGCACCTTAAGAAATTTTACGGTTTCGTTTCATGTTTCTGTTCAAATGTACGTTCACTTTCAGCGATTTGGATGAGTCCTTTGAGACGTGGCTCTCAACCGTTGTGCTCTCGATGTGTTCAAGTTTCATTGTGAAATATCCTCAAGTTTCACCCAAAGCAATTTACGCTCCCGAAAGGAATCGACTCATTGCCGTGAGAACCATGGGAAATGACTACACGAATCAGCGAGCGGAATGACACCGTATACGATTACCTAACATTTTAAGTTGCAGTTTGATACACATTTAAGTTGATAACGAAACTTTGATCTTCGGCCTACACAGTTGACATCCTTGAGTCTATCCAACGCATGAAGTTTCCAATATTTTAAAGGCACAGTTTCCAGTGCATTTTATACCAAACTTCATTTTTTTGTTCAGAAGTTTGCATTTTGTAAAAAAAATAAAATAAATTCAAAATAATTTATTTATGAAAATTACTTACAATCTATAAGGCATATTTTGAGTAATTTCTTCTAAAATAGCTTGAAAAATATATTTTTGTCATTTTGTGTTGCGTTCACGCCCCAAAAGCTCTAAGCAGGCCACAAAAACAAACAGGCGCATTTGAACTATGAAACAGATGCTTTTGATACCGCGAGACCCCGTCTCGCATTCTTCCCTAGTTCAGCGTACTCGCAGGGACGCAAGTCGTGCGGCAATTTGGGTGAAACTTTGTCTTTGTGCTAGTAGAGCAGGAATTCATTTAAAACTTATTGGAAAAAACATTCGAAAAATATACTGTTTAAATCGCACACCAACATTGATAACAAAAACTTCAAATAATTCATAAGCACGAAATATTAATATTACTAATTATTTTATAAAAATATTTTATTCATGATAAATGCTACAGTATTATTTCTGTGGTATAGATAAATTGTGAGGTACCAAACCCAGACAATCTTCACAAATAAAGAGGTCGAAAGAAAGAATTTTACGGAGATGTTTACTAAACTAGAGCCGATCGCGTCCAAGCACCTCTCCTTTGCCGTAGGGATGACTGATGTCACCGATCGCCCGGAAATAAACGCTTGGCCCGGGCATGCCAAGTGGACCACCCACTAGCGCATCACAGGTCTACGGGATAGCAGCTAGTGAGACCATTGTGGATCCGATGTTGGGTTCTCTGATCGCGGATTATTGGTCAGATTTACATTGGTGCACTTAAAAGAGAACAGGAAAAGAAGGGCGACGCGAAAGTGAATAGTGGAGAGATATTTTCGATGACCTTCATCCTAATAAATAGTTTTTCAATAGTAAAATTCCACTGACTACATATCAAAGAGCAACAATAGAATATTGCAACCAAGTAATAAACCGCACGGTACCTTATTATGATACGTTACATATAATGCAATGTAATAATTTCACTCGTTCCAGATACAAGTTCCTGGCTTTCGAATTTGACGAAAACGTGGAAGAGACTCGTGACAACTGTCGCTTGTTACTGGTGCGCTTGAAGATGGAAGGCTGGCTCATGGGCAACAAGAAAGTGTTCCTGACGTACTACAATGAAGAATATCTCTCCAGGTAAGATTACTTAATAAGAAATGTAATTCATACGTTATGCTTATTGTTTATTTTAAAGTTACGAGAATTATGCTTAATAACTTCCGACAATATAGAAAACGTTTTGAATGTAAGTTAACCACTTAAAAAAGGAAGTTCCTAATTTGAAAAAATTATAAATTGTCAGTTACATTCAGGTCTAGTAGATGAAACAATAAAATTTGTAAAACATTATAAATAATAAAATTCAAAATAATACTAAACAAAGAATGACATATCTGGGGCAGTATACAGAATATACAGTCTACCACCATCACAGACAGTTATACAGACTCCCACCAGTTATACAGTGCACCACGACCATCAGATAGTTACAGTCCGCCAGACGACGTGCCCCTTGCTCCTGCTGAGGGAGGCGTCCCTTTCGCCGCGCATGCGCAGGCTGTACGAGACGCAGGTGAAGAAGATCGTGCGCGTGCAGACGATGCTGCGCGCCTTCTTGGCGCGGCGCGTGGTGCAGAAGAAGACCAAGGAGCAGCTGGCCGGTACGCCCCCGGCCACTTACAAGGCTTCGCCGCCGGCCAACGCCGCTTCGCCCGCCGCCGCCGCCGCCGCCGCCACCGCTGGCGCCTCTCCAGCTTCAACGCCCTCGGCCGCCGGTTCGCCCGCCGCGACTCCCGCCGCCTCCGCTTCGCCGGCTGACACCCCCGCGGCTTCGCCCCAGGCCTCGCCCAAAGCTTCGCCCAAAAGCTCGCCCGCGGCGACGCCCCAGGGCTCGCCGCAAGGGTCGCCCGAGGCGTCCCCCAAGGGCTCGCCTCAAGGGTCGCCCACGGCGTCGCCCGCGGCGTCGCCCAAAGCTTCGCCCAAAAGCTCGCCCGCGGCGTCGCCCAAGGGCTCGCCTCAAGGGTCGCCCGCGGCGTCGCCCAAAGCTTCGCCCAAAAGCTCGCCCGCGGCGTCGCCCAAGAGCTCGCCTCAAGGGTCGCCCGCGGCGTCGCCCAAAGCTTCGCAGGGCAACTCGCCCGCCGCCTCGGATGAGAACGAAGCGGAGTAGCTAAGCTGGCGCTTCGTTTAGATCTTTGGCTTTGAAGCCGCCTGGGCTGTGCTTGGATGGGGCCAGGGGATGCTATAAGGGCTGTCAAGGCGCTGGCAAGCCATAAAGTTATTGTAGAAATATCGTAGCTTATAGAGATTATGTATTTTAGATAGTAGATTTTCTCTAACAAGCACTATGATGACGGGCATTTAAATTACCTGGAGGTTTTCGTTTAACATTTTTTAAGTTGGTTTCCCTCTTTAACATTTGGTTGAGTTGTTTTTTAGCACACCCAAGTATTGTAGTTCATAGTGGTTATGCATTTCGAAGGTAAATTAGGTTTATCAAACACTATTATATACTAGGCATTTCAATTATTTGGAAATTTTATGAGCCCATTTTGTCCTTTTGAAAGTTTGTCTGAGTGGTTTCTGAAAGCTCCCAAACAATAGTAGTATAACTAACGTAGACTTGTACGTAGAATTATTTTCTTCAATTTATCAATATTATCATCTACTCTAAAAAGTACTCTTCATATTTCTTGCCCATTTTCTCTTTGTGTTAGTATCATAATAGTATGTAACTCGTGACGGAAATTTACAATTCGAAATCAGCTAGTATTAATTGATAAATATTAACAAGCTCATACTTATTTAATTTTTGGCCCTCTTGTTAACAATTTTCGGATTGTTTCCCTGCAGCTTCTCCACAGTTCCTTCGCATCAAGCCTGTGTGCCTCTATTGCGTTGCCTGCAGCCTCTCATACGTTTGACTGCAGTTACTGAAGTAGTGTACCAGGTTCAAGTTGTAAGGTTTTCAATTTCCAGCTTCTAAGTAGTTATTGTGCCATGAACCGCTAGACAAAACATGAATTCGCAACATCGTATTGTAGAGTAATTATGGGCAAAAACAGTGCATTTAGACGAGCGTTCTTTTCTTCGCGTAATCTTCTAGCTCTTGCTAACAGTTACTTGTATGCATCAAGAAAGGAATTTTACCATAACATTTCCCTATTATTGCAACAGTTCCCTATTATTGCAAGGAATTGCATGTATGCGATGTTTTCATACTCTTAACAATGAAGGTAATGTTTGTGGTTGAGTAATAACAATGATAAAAACCTTTTAAGAGGATATATCAATTTTCCTAAAACGTGGATAAATTTTTTTTAAAATTTAGCACTTTATTATCCGATAACCTAGTGCTTTTAATAAATTATTATTTGTAACAAATATAATTCTATCTTCACTTTACTCATCAAATCATTGGGGTCTCGTGAATACTGTTTATTGTGACAATTTGACGGTTTACGCTTAACGTCTTGGCATCTGATTTAGAGATAAGCAAGATAACGCAATTAAATTTGCAACAGCTGTAGCGCGCTAATTCCTAAAACTATAGAGAAGCCTAATCATTCATTTACTCGCCCCCAGATGATATTGCTTTAGTCTTAGAGTGCATTAAAGTATATGCCGTTAGAAAAATATTTTACGGGAACGTGATATGTGAACAACATAAAATATAAAGGTAAAAAATTTTCATTACAACTCAAAATTTAAGAAGTCCAATTTTTGAATTATTTGGGTGAAAAGTACTGTTACTCTTCTTTATTTCATCCAGAGTAGTTTACTATTTTGCATGTTCTGTTTCCTCATTACAATTTCCTATAATGTTGCACACACGTCTGGTACGAATTCAATTCTTGCAGTACGTGCATGTGAAATATGTAGTTAACCTTTGTCGTACAATAAAAAATACGACGTACAAAAATGTAAATTGTATTGTTGTGATTATATATAATAACAAGTAACGTTCCTAATATAAATATACTTTTCCATCTTATCAGGCATGTGCATGTTTCAGCTGAATGTTTTGTGTACGAGTAGAAAATAGAAGCTAAAATTCAGGAATGTACACAAAACTAAAATTAAGTTTATATTATTTATTATTTTGTAAATATTTATATATAAAACAAACATATTTTTTGTTTTCTAATAAGGTTCCATTTTGTATAATTTATGGCAATTAAAGTCGATTTGACAATTCTAGAAACCTAAATTTCACAAAAATTTCACAAAACTTAGAATTCATGCGATATTAAGAATTAGATTCATATTTTGATAACCCATGAAGACTGAATGTCGGATTAGTATATGTTGACTATATTATACGCACCGGAGCATGTTTGTTGTTTACTCTGATGTATAGTTTATTCACGTTGTTATTGTTTTTCGTTTAGTTAAATACACGCACTATCATTCGGGTAATAAAAAATACTGCGCAATTTAATAACTATATTTTTTGTAACAATAATAGTGAATGTACCAGACGTGTAGCAACAATAAAGTTAAATTTAAATTACACTCTATAATCGTTTTACTTCTCTTCTCCCTTCATTCCTTCATTTCCCATTCTTAACTATATTACAAAACCAATTTCTATGGTATCGTAGAATGAGAGTAAATGTTTTAATCACAAATATAAACGCACAATTAAATATTAGATATTGACGTTTATCAGTTGTTCAATAAATGGTTTATTTAATTTTCTGGTATGATTTCATTGTAGTGTTGGTATACATTTTACCAGCGCCTTGAAGTGAAACTGTATGAAAATACAGTTTATTAATAATATTTATAAATAAAGATTATAAAATACGATTTCGTATATCACATACCTTCGTTTATTTACGTGAGTGAACAACGAACTTACGTGAGAAAGATTAAGTAATGGCAGAATGCAGATATTAAAGTAATCTACATTATAGTAATCAAGATTAAAGTAATCTAGAAACAAAAGTGCATTAAATTATCTCTTAATACTTATGAAGATTTCCCATTACTGTTGATCCTGTAGGCAAAGAGAATTAATTTCAAAATATATTCCATTATTTTCAGAATAACTAGGGGGGTCTTCTTTTGTAAAAAACTTCAAATTCAAAGTTGGATTCGGGAAAATTATTAAGAGATAATAAACTAAAATTACATGTTATATTTTAAAAGATGTAACGTGATATTTATTTCCATTTTTTCCAATTTAGTAGTATATAAGACTATTGCATTAAATATGATTTCCTAAAACTTTTGACCCAAAAAAGTGAGTGTTCAATGCTGATTTACAGAAAAAAAGAAATCTGAAGTAAAGAAGGCGAAGAAAGAAGTAAAAATAAAAGAAGAGGAGAAAGATAAAGAGGAAGGAGAAGAAGGTAAAGAGGAGCCAATGGACGAAGAATCAGCTGCTCTTATTATCCAGAAACGTAAGTATTGCATTTTGCAACATTGTCAATAGTAAACCTCTACACATACTATTGGACCAAATATCTGATACATATAGACAATTAAAGTAAACATTTTGAGTACCCGAAACATATTTTTCGATATATTCAGTAATATTTTAAGTTAGCATTTTTCAACCCCTCATTATTTAAATTTTGAGTCCTTTGATAATTGTATCCCCTATTCAAACAAAGAAACATTGCCTTCAGAAAGTTTAGAGGACGTACATAATTTGTTGCATGTTCTTCTAGGAATTAAATTTTAGGTATCCATATGAAATAATTTTTCAAGGTATAGACCATTTCGTCACAAAAAGTAGTTACAAATGTCTTTCACCGATTCTCTATTATCACTTTAGAATATTTTTTTAAAATTATATGTTTAAATATTAGTGATATACAGAGATGCTAATTTGTATTATTCATTACAAAAAGAGAATTCTAGTTATGCGCCCCCTGCATGTCTTGGCATAAAAAGTAATTTCGTTTGATCTGTGTAATCCAAAGTATTGTGTGATCATCGTAACTTTTCTTTATTTATTTAACGTCAAAAACCATTGAAAACTGTGTGACGTAATCTGACAGAAGTGTATTCAGTGCACATTTTCTTAAGTTCTGGTATCCCTACCCTAACCCATATGCAAGTTGAAATCTGAATGCAGTTGGAAATGAGCATTTTTGATCTGACCAAGATGGGAGTCATTGACCCAGAAGCTAAGGTACAGAACTTGTTACAGGCTGTTTAGTATTCAGTACAAATGGTAAATAATACATTAAATATTATTGTTAAAATTAACATTACTTTCCTTTTTGATGCTCAAATTTTCATCTTTTGATGATGATTTTGAGTCTCTAATTGTGAAGAAACAGTTATGCAGCAGAAAAGATTTTACTTGGTACTTCATCTTGCGTATCTAATTTAATCGTTTAATGTCATCTGGCAATGTGTAGTAAAATAATGAACATGAAGTGTAAGTGAATTTTTTGTAATAAGCTGTTGATACTGTCACCTGATGAATATTATTCCTGCGTCTAGTGTTATAGTTATAGACATCCGTATTTGCTGAAAATATATTCCCACACACTCGAGTAAGTCTTTTTTTGACAAAAAACACTGATTCGTTAATCAAGAAGCAAGGTATGCGTAGATTTTCTAACTTAATAAATAGAGGCTTATAAGAATCACTTGGGTGGGATTTGCTTATTGTTCGTGTACTTGTTTTTGTAATCTAAATATCTTGAAGCTGTAGGATGTGTATCGCCAGAATTTTATGACATATCTGAAGCGAGAATGAACATTCGCAAAATATACACAACAATATGAATGCTGATTGAATTTGATAGAACTCTAAAAGCATAGAATAATAAACTTAATTTTGTGTTCATTTCATTTAAATGGGGGTTGCATTTGATGTGAGACTAAATTGAGAGGCTCAAATTTTTATTAGCTTAAAATCGGTGAATTGCACATGTTCATTTTCAATGAAGCCATTGTTTATTTGAAATGTAAAACTGGATTGAAACAGTTTTCTTCTTCTTCTCCTTCTGCACTTCATGAATTAGACTTGAGCCTGTTCCGTCTTCACAAGTTTTCCTTCCATCGTTTTTGCTTTTTTGCATCATTTATTTTGTTTCAAATTCCTTCAGCATTTAATTTTTCCCTTATCTTCTCATTACGAACATGATCTTCTTTCGTGCAGCCTAGCGTTCTCCTCAAAAACTTCATTTCAGCGGCCTGGATTTT